CTGCACAGGGAAAGAAAGATATCATCGTCAAACACATTTTACCTTGCCTGCACCACAGCTGTACGTCTTTTTTATTTTGTACCAAAGAAGGACCATAATTTTTTACATAATATTTATCACTGCAAAGTTCCAGTTTCAGTCAGAATCTGTTATTTTAAGACCACAGTACTGTGGCACTCTATTTCCAGAGGCATCAGATTCGATCAGGCTCAAGCTTTATGTTTCGCATCTCTTATGTATTCCTGCAAGAAATTTAAGCATTGGCTAGTACAAATGTGTATTTAAAAATAAATGATCACATGGCAGGGCTCTCAACACTTCATAATCAATCATCTTATCAAGTGTCATAATGTTACGAATAGAAAAATCTATTGAGACCGTTTCAAAAGATATGATTAAAACAGACAGTAAAATAAGTAACTTAAAGCAGTAAATGTTTTACACAATAAAGACACTTAGTCTAGAAAAATATTTGCGTAATACGGCACTTCTGTATAAGAAAACCTTTCTTGCTCAGTTAGTCTTTTAAGGAAGTCTGATTTATACAGGAAAAAAAATGCCACGGACACAGCGGACAGAGCAAGGACTGCCACCTCAGTCACCCAGACTCTGCAGAGAGAAACGTGCTCTCGGTCGCTCCTAAATGAAAACTGAAAGTTGAGAAACCTTGTCATAAGATTATTACTTTGTCCACTAACATTTAAGAATGCGTTTTTGTGTAGGTGCTCTTTTGGACAAGTTTATTGTCCGTTCATTATATACTGAGATGAAGTGTGTACATATGTATAAACACCCACCTACACACATGGTCTCAGGAATATATTTATGTGTGGGAAAGACACAGCAAGCATATGTGATTCTGTATGTGAGAGAGAAAAATCTCATGGAAGAGCCCGAGCTACGTGCCGAGCCACGGCCACAGAGAAGCTGTGTGCAACCATGGCTGGAGCTAAGCAGGACACAGTCAAACAGCCGTCGGCAGGCCAAGTTCTCCACCCATGAAAAAGCAGCCACTCACTTGTCTAGCAAAATTCAATGTTTTTTCTGTGTATAATAGCAAGCTGGCATATGAATATGGTTTTGTGAGATGTTTGTAGGACATTCCAGTCTTCTGTAAATCAGCAACAATAATATTATTATTAATAAAATAAATAATGAACAAATCTTAAAAGGAAAAAAATTCCTAGTATTTCTATTACTTGAATCTATCCCAAAAGACTTTGTAGAAATGTAACACTTAGAGGAAAAAAAGAAACACGAGTCTGCTGAAGTTTACTTTTAGAAGAAATTACTTCATCTAATATTACACAGGATACCACTTCTCACACAATTCGTCACAGAATAATTATGATCTTAAAATATTGACTAATTAAGAGTCTGAAAGTAAAAGTGCCAGCCGTTACTAAAAAGTCTGATGATCTTCTGCAAACAACAAATGAATTTTAAGAATGAAAATTCCAAAGGTCTTACTCCAAACTACAACTGGAAAAGACAAACCAGACTTCTACTCAGAGTCAGACGCTTGTGGGTGGGAATTTAATCTCAGCTATCACTGGGCTCCTACAGTCAACAAAGTAAGGAAATCCTGAGGAAAGTTCATCTGATCTAGTTTAGGCACCTATTTTAGCATGGAATTAATCCCTCTCTGAATGTGTCCATCACTCTTCTTTGAGTAGACACCTGACTTTCAGATGGTTAGTGCTGGTTGTTACCCCTTGTGACACTGGGCTTTAGTATTGGAAACACTACATCTCTATGCTATAATGTTTTATTCTAAGTCTACCTGGTCCTAAGGGCAGGACAAACAAGCTCTTACAACTTTGGGGTGCATGAGCAAAGAGTAAAATTCAATGACTGGAGTCAGTGTTCCGTTTCCTCTGAAGTCAGTAAGAATTTCTTCTGTTTATGTGAGAACTGAACTTGCCTTCTTGTAGCAATTTTGCCTCAGTGATGCTATTCAAATACCGCATCACACAGAAATAAGAAGGCAGAGAGGAAGACGGACACCTTCTCAATTAAACCACTCACTTTAACCTTTAAACCTTGCAAGAATTTTCCTAACACTTATATGCTTACTACTATAATATCTAGTGAATGCTGAAGGTGTTGCACACTTGCTACTCCACTTCTCCCTTTACCTTTACATCTCCTCTATCTTCTCTGAATTCTATATTTTCAAACACACAAGTGAAAATTCTGATCTAAACAGGTGAAACTCAACTCAACTCTGTAAGTGGCTCTGCTTTATTCATGCACCATGCTGAAGACTCCAGCTAGTAAGATGTGCAGTAAGACTTGTGCTGCCGAATCCAGTCTGAAACACAGATTCTCCTACACCAGGCACATTTCTGCCACCTTTTGCAGTATCTTCTCTGAATCACCCTGACTGGGTGCTTGCTCGTTGGAGACACACCTGCTTTGCCATCCACTCTAAGAGCTTTTGTCTCCAAATTTGTTTTTCCCATCTTTTTCAAATGTCACTTTCAACAGTATAAACTGAAGTAGAGAACCTAATTTTTCAGGATGATGGACAAAAGCATGAAAAATACTGGCAGTCAAGACCATTAGTAAAAATACATATTTATGTAGATAATATCGCCTTTAAGAGAATTATATGTGAGGATCCATATTATGTGTATCATAACCTGATACATGTATCTTCTTTCCCATAGATAAAGGACAAGGCATTTTGAAAACTGCTTGAATTTTAAATCAGCAAAACATATTAAGCAAAGAGATTTCTCTAATTGTAATTAGGTAACATAAATTGGTACATTTCACAGACTTCAGTGATACACCAGACTGCACTTTATTTCTTACTGGCATAGTGTTACTGCGCTATCTGGGTTGGAAGACTATCAGAAACCTGCTATTTTATGGCCAGTTATGTGCATTAGGCATATTTCTTTGCTTTAGTGTCTGTGTTTTTCAAGATTTCTGATCTGATTTTACGAAAATGGAGCAAAGAGGCAAACCGACTCTTTTTCATAGAAATCTCTCAACATATCTGAAGTCAGTTCAGGTAGAGGACAGTAGAGGGACCCAGTGAAAAGATACGATCGAGTGAATGATGTGGTTTGTTTGAGTGGGCCACAAACTCCCAACAAATCCTTGGTCAGACCTCTCATGAAAGACTGAAGAGACAAAGTGAAATGTGATTTATGACCACAACTCATTTTTCACAAGGTGTCCTCAAAGAAATTGAACTCCCAAATCTGTCATGAAGATGACCGGGTACAGCAACCCTATAAAGACAGCCTCTGAAGAACATGTAAGTGTGTCAGCTTCGTGATAGACCCTGATGGAGGCTTCATGTCTTTAAGTTTCTCATGTTTCTGATGCAGGCTGCCCCCGGTTCCTTTGGATTAGCTTACAAGTCTCACTAAATAAAACTATAGATACATAAACAAACACATTTTTAATACATCTAAACAGCATTTCAGACAAATCCACTGTAAACTGCTTTATTAGCACATGTGAATGTACTACCAATAAAAGATGAGCTCTGATGCAGAACAAAAACATTTATAGTGGAGATCAGATAGATGAACATGGCTGCAGAAACGAAGACCAAACTTCTTTGAAGACTAACAAATCTGTTTTTTCCCCAGATCAATTAATAGAGAAATGGTGGAGGCTGAGCTTGTGTATTGAACACCACACTTGTGTCATACATTAAAAATTCAGCTTTACCTGTAAAGCAGCTTATCAAGTAAACAGTCATCTATTGTTCCTATGAACTAACCAGTAAGAGGAATCATATAGTTATTTTTTTTATGTTACCTACAAAAATCATATTCCTATTGGCACAAATGGAAGGCAGCGTAAGTAGCCTGCACCTTCAGTAAGCTTTTGCATTTTATAGAAGCCTTGAAAAACTGCACACATATATTTTCAAGAAATGTTGACTGATCTGACTTTGATTAAAAACGAATACAACCAAAGGAGGTACACTATTTTTATAGTTCCTTTCATTTTGAAAGTCAGGTATTGATAGTGAAAATTACATGTAAGACTTGACCCTAGTTTTCAGTGCTTTTGAGGAGAATCAGAAAATCACATATATGAGTCAGATTCAGAGCCAGTTCAAGGTATATAGGAATTATTTATTTGTTACAGATAGAGGAAACAAGTCAGAGCCTTTAAGTAATTAATCCAAAGTCACATGAAGTGGCAGATCTGAAAACGGAACTGTTCAGTAAGACAAGTCTCTCCGGCTTATTGAAAGAAGTGTAATTAAACATTTAATGGAGAAACTTCTCTCTGTAGGGTCCCTCTTTTAAAATAAATGTAGGTGTGAAACCACAAATTTACAACAAAGGATTGGGCCCTTTAGCAGGAAACAATTATTTTTAAAGAAGAAACTACTGCTTCCCTTCTCTTCCCACTTTGGTAATGTGTACAGTGTCTAGCATAATAATAACCTTTTGAATCTTTCTGGGTTTATGATGTTAAAAAGAGCTGAGAATGAACTGAGTGGTATTTGTAAGCTGTTCTTAACTAGCGAACAAGAATACATAATGATCCTCCAAGGCGGACGATACATACTGCCCAATTTTATACAGCTTAGATAAGGTAATATGCTTCTGAAGCATCCTGAAAATATAAATTATGATACAAAGTAATAGCATTTATCAATAGAAAAACGCTGAGACACATACAACAGGAAGAAAAACAAAGTAACAAAGATATACCCATTTAGTATCATGACTCCTGATTTCTGTGTTTACAGTGGAATTTAATTTATTATTATTAATCTATCTACATTTTAATTAATTTAATATAACAGAGTGTGCTTTGTTGTGTAATCATAGTTTATGGAACTTTATCTTTGCAGCTTTTTTTTATTTTATCGGACGCTTCTCCAATTACATGTAAACATTTTAGGAAAGATTAAAGTAATTTCTATTTACAGTTAGTGGAAAACAAGCTGTCCGTACTCCTGCTGTAGTAGAGATTATACGTGATATATAATATGCTACACCATATGTTTAAAGGCC